TTCCTTGCCATTTGTTCAGAAAAAAAACTTTGGTGGAAGTTATGGATAGTCACTATTAGGTTTTTCAGTAAAATTTATATAGATATTTTGACCCCTCAATCAACACTGTACAATTGAATTTTTTAATGCGTGTGTGTGTGTGTCTGTATGCATCCATGCGCGTACGAGTTTGACCACATATACTTTTTTTTATCAGAAAACTTATAAGACTTATTACCCAATAAAAAAAACACTTATAAGACTTAATTAAATTAATTTAAATATTTCTTCTAATTTTTTATTTCATTTTATTTTATTTGCAGATCAGAATATCAATTTTGTTTAAGGTTTATTCTTTTCGAACCTGAGTGAATTCTCTGTGTTGTTTTTGCTTTCATTAAAGCATGACCTGACCCTTGTTAAATGTGACGTGAAAATGAGTGTATCAATAAAAGGCGCTAATATAAATTCTATATATCATAACCACTCATTTTGTTGGCACGCAGGCACCAGAGAATATAATGGTCATGAACCTTTCCGACTGCTACCACCTGGAGGCTCTCCCTGATCTTTCTGGCTGCCGAGGTTTAGAGAAGATTGTTCTAGTGAACTGTATTAAACTAAGTAGGATTAACGAATCAATTGGCAATCTGATCACACTTCGTCATTTGAATCTGACACTTTGCAAAGAACTTACTAGGTTACCCGATGATATATCTGCGTTGGAAAATCTAGAGAGCCTCTGTCTCTCTGGCTGCTTGAAGTTGAAATCGTTACCAATAAACATGGCCAACTTGAAATCACTAAGAAAAACTCCTTGCTGATGGCACGGATATAGAGGAGCTCCCCCAAACTATTCTTCGTCTTGATAAACTTGAAATTCTTATTTTAAATGGTTGCCAAAACTTAAAAAGACTACCTGGCGACATCAGACTTTTGTGTTCTCTGCAAGAGTTGTCTCTCGACAAATCTGGATTAGAAGAACTACCCAATTCCGTTGGGCTTTTGAAAAATCTTGAGAAGCTTGGTTTGAGGCATTGCAAATCTCTCACTGAGATTCCTGATTCTATTGGAGATCTCGTATCACTTCCAAAGCTTCAGCTTTATGGTAGTGCTATTAAAGAGCTTCCTTCTTCGATTGGATCATTGTCTCATCTAAAAGAACTCTCAGTAGGAGATTGTAAGTATCTGAATAAATTGCCTGAGTCCATTAAGTCTCTGGTTTTCATTGTTGAGCTTCAGTTAGATGGGGCGCCGATCACAGATTTGCCAGATGAGATTGGAAATATGACATTGCTTAAAAAGCTTAAAATGAGGAATTCCCAGATGAGATATCTACCCAAATCGATTGGCAACCTCACAGCTCTTACAACCTGGGACCTCTTCAACGGCAACATTGTAGAACTGCCAGAGTCCGTTGGAAGGCTTGAGAACCTAGAGTATTTAAGGTTGGACCAATGCACAATGCTCGGAAAGCTTCCGCATTCTATAGGACATTTGAAGTCCTTGTATGATCTTCGGATGCCGGAAACAGGTCTTACAGAATTACCTGAAAGTTTTGGTATGCTTACCGGCTTACGAACGCTGAAAATGGCCAATAAGTCTGAAAATAACTTGCTTCAAGATTCTTCTGTAATCTCATCTTTTTTCTGCAATATGATGTTCCTGAATTATCTGGACGCTCGTTGTTGGAGAATATCCGGAAAAATTCCTGATGATTTTGAGAACTTGTCATCTTTGGAGACCTTAAATCTAAGCCAAAACATATTTCACAGCCTTCCTTCCAGTTTGGCAGGCCTTTCGATTCTCAAGAAGCTCTCTCTTCAAAACTGCATCGAGCTGGTTTCTCTCCCCGCTCTTCCCTCAAGCTTGATAGAGCTGAATGCTGCAAACTGTTGTACCTTACAAAGCATTCATGACCTTTCAAATTTAACAAATTTGCAGGATCTAAACTTCACCAATTGTGAAAAGTTGGTAGACATTCCTGGCCTTGAACGGTTAGGGTCTTTGAGGAAATTGTTCTTTGGTGGATGCGTTACATGCTCCTACACTATCCGCAAGAGACTTTCCAAGGTTCATTCTCTTCCTCTATTTCCCCATCACATCATCAATGAATAATCAAAAGAATGTGAAAAGTATGGATAAATCAGATTAATGTGTGATTCATCATTTCTTTTTGTAGCACTCATTGACCCATTGAATGACATGACAGGTTACGCTGCGGAATTTAAGGAACTTGAGCATGCCGGCTACAAGATTACCCCCGTGGTTTTCAGGACAAACTCTAAGCTTTTCGAAGCCCAAGAACCGTGAACTAACTGGTGTAATTATAGGTATCATTCTTTCAGTCAACCATGATATCAAAGCAAATATCCTCAGACTTGGAGTGAATGTGTATAGTTCAGTATTGGACTTGCGTGGATTGCCAAGAACAAATGAGGAACACATACACCTTTGCAGGTACCCTGATTATTCTCGACTCATGTCTATGTTGCGAGACGGTGACACAATTTGTGTGACACTGAGAGACCCACCTGTGGACAAGGGGTTAGAGCTGAAAAAATGTGGGATTCTTTGATCTTTGAAGGGGATGATGACTATGGTGGAGATGAAGAATCTGTCGAGCGAAGTTTGCAATCTGTGTCAGAAAAATTGGCCAAATTTTTCAACACTTGCGAAGAAGATGGTTCCAAAGATGATGGAATTAAGAGTGAAGATGATGACAATGAGTGTCAAAATGAATTAGAGACTCAAAGGGGAAGATAGGATATCATCATCTAATTCCAATAAATCCAATTTTCTCTCTTCTGTTTGCTGTTTTTCTTGCTGAGCTGATTGGTAGTAAATTTGTCTTCATATGTGATTTATAGGAGATTGTTGGCTTTCAGAATCTGAAAACCATTTCATATAGGATATAAAATGGCACTATCATATTATCCCAAAATGAAAAGTGCACAATCTAGGATCAAATAGTCTTATTACCAGGACGCTAGTCTATGCTTGTGAACGCGTTTGTCACTGCCTCTTCCTTTTTATGTGATACCTTTGAGAAAGTTTTGATGTTCTTATTTAGACGAGGTTTTGAAAAATCTGAATAGCAGTTAATATTTTTTTTCAGAAAATACTCTTAAAAAGAATTATGTTTACTAATTAAGAGAAGACATGATAAAAAAGTATTTAATAAATTTTTTTAAATATCAGATAATTTTAAAAAGGCTAAAATATATGTTTAGTTATTTATGTTTACATTGAGTTTCAATTTAATTTATTAACTTTGAAAAGAGTATTTTAAGTTTTTTAATCTTATTAGGCTTTGAAAATGATGATTCAACAAACTTAAATAGCGACTTTGCTATTAAATACCAACAATACATTATTTTAATTTTAATTTTTTTAATATAGCTATTTGTATAAAATCTAGAATTTTTAATACTTTAGCATTTTGAATATTTTATTAGATATTTAATTCTTTAAATGCCTATATTTTTAACTATATAGAGTGATTATAGTGAAAAACTTAAAATTTAAAACATGTTTTCTCAGCATTTTCTATTGAATGAGATTAACTTTGTTAAGATTAAGGGGCTAAAATACATTTTATAAATTTAAGATATTAAATTGAGAGTTGAGCTAAATTTAAACAATCAAGGAAAAATTGGGAAGAAGGACCTAAAAAAAATAATATTTATTGAAAATGATGTTAAAAATTATAATTATTTATAAGGATCAAATACAAAAATATAACGTTGAAAAATACCAAATCACCCTTAACAAAATTCCTACATTTTCTCTCATCACCTCCATTGAACAGATTTTTTTTGACAATCTATGAAAATTCTTTATAATTTTTTTTCTCATCTATATTTGCAACAAAATTGATTAAAATCAAATCGAAATCATTTATTATTAATCCAAAATGTCTTATATATTCGAACACACAATAAAATGAACTTATTCATCAACATGAACAGTGCCAGTGGCAGTTAATTTTCATCTGTCTTTCTTTGGTTCTAATTGAAATTCTCTCTTTTTTTTCCAAATATCTCCTTCGTTAATTTTCATTTTATAAATTATTTTACTGTATAAATTGTTGTAAATATATTGAAATGCACATAAAAATATTTTAATGGATTTCAATAAGTACAATTAAAACTTTTATAATTATTTTTCTTAATTTCAATTTTTAAAATAATAAATAAAAAATAATCATAAACATTTAAAAGCTACTTAAACTAAACAAATCATGAAAAATCAAGGGATGTTTAATTGTGTCCTATCTTGGCATTTTGTGCCAATTCCAGTTATTTTGAGACAGGACAAAAGTATGTGATACAAAATGGGATGCAAGGGGCAAGCATCACATCCTAATATATAATCTTTTTTTATTTTATAAATTTATTTTATATATTACTATGATAATAATATTTGTCAATTATTAGTTTGATTGTTATTTTCAAGTTGTTTTATACGGGCTACATGGTTTTTTTTTTTAATGGATGTGTTTTTTTGTTTTTTGTGTTTCAAGTTTAAAAAAAAAAGGAAACGGAGTTTTATGGCCAGCATGATTCACGAAAACTACTGGTATGTATTATATCTGATGTTAAATGCATAAGCTAAATAACTGATTTAAAATGATAAAAGTATAAATCAAAGCCTTTATAAAAATAGACGGCTGTGTTTTTCTTTTTTAATCATTTTTCCTACCAAATTTGCAAAAATTAAGTTAATTACTTATAAAACAATTGTGTTATTTTTCTTGAAGAACTCAAATTAAGAAAAAAAAATTATAAGTTTAGAGAATAAAGTAAATTAATATTCCAAAGCTATCTACTAATTCTCCCATTTAAGACAAGAGGGTTTATATTCAAAAAATCAATAAATATTTCATCACAAACAGGGTATGCTTCCACACAGACATAAAAAGCCCTTTTTTCGGCTCAGTAGTCAGAATAAAGGACGGTTTGGCGGTGTTATATCCCATACACGATGGTTTACAGATGCTAAAGGTTAACTATCTTTTTCTATATATCATAGCTGAAGAAAAATTCTATTAGCAGCCAGCTCAAGAAGAGAACGAACGCACTAATAAAATAGAAGATATTAGAGATGCCAAGGATAGACGATGACGAGATTGTTTCTTCCCTTTCTTGAGTCTCCAATTGCGTTTGGCGCTCATCATCATTATCTTCACTCTCAATTCCATTTTCGGAGCTACCTCCTTCTTCGTAACTGTCGAAAAACTTGGCCAATCTTTCTGACACGGATTGTAAGTTTCCGTCCACAGATTCTTCAGCTCCGCCGTAATCGTCATCCCCTTCAAAGATCAAATGAAACCCACATTTTTTCAACTCTAACCCCTTATCCACAGGTGGGTTTAATCGAGTCACACATAATGTGTCACCATCTCGCATGAAAGAGAAGAGATGATGGTAATCCGGGTACCGGCAAAGGTATATGTGTTCCTCATTGGATTTTGGCAACCCACGCAAGTCCAAACCTGAAGTACATGTATTTTTGCCGAGTTTGAAGACATCTACCTTGATATCAACCACTCCAGGAAGAACATTTCGCCGTTCACTAGGAACATCATGGTTGATTGAAAGAATGATACCTATGATTACACCTGTTAATTTACGGTACTTGGGCTTTGACAAGCTTACAGTTTGTCCTGAAAACCACTTGGGTAATCTTGTTCCTGGCAAGCTCAAGTTCAATAAATTCCTCAGTGTAACCTGTCATGCAAGGGAGTCAGTTGACTACTACGGGAAAACAAAAAATTGATAAAATAGACATTGGTCTGGTTTATCCCAAAAATAAACAAGAATGTATCCATGCTTTCAATCTTCGTTTACTTATTCATTGATGATGGGAGAGAGAAAGAGAGGGAAAGAAGAAACCTTAGAAAGCCTTCTGCGGACTGCGGAGGAGCACTTAAGGCATCCACCCAAGTACAACCACCTCAGAGACTCTAAGCGTTCAAGGCCAGGAATATCCACTAACTGTACACAATTTGTGAGGTTCAGATCCTTCAGACTTTTTAAATTTGAGAGATCATGAATGCTTTGTAAGGCACAACAGTTTGCAGCATTCAGCTTCGTCAAGCTTGAGGGAAGAGCAGGGAGAGACACCAGTTCAATGCAGTTTTGAATACGAAGTTCCTTGAGAAAGGAAAGGCCCGCCATACTGGAAGGAAGGCTGTAGAATTTGTTTTGGCTCAGATTCAAAGTCTCTAAAGAGGACAAGTTCTCAAAATTATCAGGAATTTTCCCAGATATTCTCCAACCACGGGCATCCAGATCACACAGAAATATCATATTGCACAAAAAAGATGAGATTACAAAAGAATCTTCAAGCATGTTATTTTCGGACTTCTTGGCCATTTTCAACGTCCTTAAACTGGTAAGCATGCCAAAGCTTTGAGGTAATTCTGTCAGACCCGTTTCCTCCATCCGAAGATGATACAAGGACTTCAAATGTCCTATAGAATGTGGAAGCCTTCTGAGCATTGTACATTGGTCCAACCTTAAATGGACTAGATTCTCGAGCCTTCCGATGGAGTCAGGCAGTTCTACAATGTTACCTTTGAAAATGTTCCAGGTTGTGAGAGCTGTGAGGTTGCCAATCGATTTAGGTAGATATTTCATCTGACAATTCCTCATTTCAAGCTTTTTAAGTAATGTCATATTTCCAATCTCATCTGGTAAATCTGTGATTGCTGCCCCGTCTAGCTGAAGCTCAACAATTGAAACCAAAGACTTAACTGACTCGGGCAATTTATTCAGAAACTCACAATTTCCTACTGAGAGTTCTTTTAGATAAGACAACGATCCAATTGAAGAAGGAATCTCTCCGATAGCACTACCAGAAAGCCGAAGCTCTGAAAGTGATATGAGATTTCCAATAGAATCAGGAATCCCAGTGAGAGATTTGCAATGCATCAAACCAAGCCTTTCAAGGTTTTTCAAACGCCCGATAGAGTTGGGTAGTTCTTCTAATCCAGATTGGTCGAGAGACAGCTCTTGCAGAGAACCCAGGAGTCCTATGTTGTCGGGTAGCCTTTTTAAGTGATGGCAACCAGTTAAAATAAGAGTTTCAAGCTTCTCAAGGTGAAAAATAGTCTCAGGCAGCTTCACTAAGGCCGTGCGATCAGCAAGAAGTTTTCTCAGTGATTTCAAGTTGGCCATATTTTCTTCTGGTAACGATTTCAACTTCCAGCAGTCAGAGAGACAGAGGCTCTCCAGATTTTTCAGCCCAGATATATCATTGGGTAACTCAATAAGTTCTCTACAATGAGTCAGATTCAAATGACGAAGTGTAGTCAAACTGCCAACTGATTTGTGAATCCTACTCAGGTTGAAGCAGTTCTCAAGAACAATCTTCTCTAAACGTTGACACCCAGAGAGATCAGGAAGAGTTTCTAGTTGGTAGCAGCGGGACATGTTCATGACCATTATGCTCTCTGGCACCTGCATGCCAACGTAATATGTTATTATGACATTAGAGAATTGATATTAGCATCTTTGTAGTGGCTCACTATTTGCACGTCAGATTTAACCCGTGTCAGGCGGTAATATAAAAGGGAAAGAAAATAATTAAGTCTGATTCGTAAAAGATAAAGCTTAAAGGTGACTCCAAAGTAAAAGGAAACTAGAAATTAGAAGAAAAATTTAGAGAGAAGTTCCTCAAATATTTTCTATCATGTTTTCTCGCAAAACATAATTAAAAAATTTGTTTTGGCACAAAAAAAAAAAACAATTGCGAGAATATCTAAAAGTCACACTTAAGTGTGTTCTCTATACTAGGAAGTGTGTTCTCTATACTAGGAGGCGCACCTTCTAACTTTGTATATTTTTTGTTGCACCTGAAGGTTTTTCTTTCAAACCATCTAATATTCGGAGGAACGTTGAAACCTGACTAATCTAGATTTGAGTCAAAGGTCACGTGGTAATCGGAGGTAGCTTTTCTAAAGGCATTCATACAAACTCGAACTCCAAATCTCATCCTCTAAAAATAAATATCTATAAATTGTGCATGAATAATTTGAATGCAAGGATTTGTAACCTTCTCATTTGATAATTCTTTTTAAGTTGGAATTTTTTTTAATGTGACCCACTAAGATGTCTGTAGCAATATCATGATATAACTAAAAATAAGATAATGAACATGGAAATTGAAGAATGAAGAATACCTTGGAGCCTTTCCGATCCCACAAGTTCTGAACATTGCTGTGAGTAAGGTCAAGGACAGCCAGTTCCCTGGGCCAAAAATCAGAAGGCATGAATCTTAAAGGGCATCCTTGCCATTGTAGCCACTTCAGTTCTGCAGGGAAAGATTTGAATTTCCCTTCCAATCGCAAATTATTGATCTGAAGCAGCGCCAAGTTCACCATGGGTTCAAAGGACTTAGTGTGAATCACTAGAGCCTCTTTGTCTTTCTCAACTCGTTGAAAATATTTCTTGTGCATCTGTTTAAAGAATGCCAGGGCATTTGTGTTCCCAGAAATTAGTTCATCACCTTTATGATCTTTAGCAGATCTTTTCTCGAAGTCTAGGACCATCCCTCGAGTACTACGAGTTCCCTACGGTTTCCAGAACAAACAAATATTTAATAACATATATAAGAAATAGGCACTATTATTAGTGGGGTGGAGAAGATGCCATAAATCGCTAATCGCTAATATATAAAAAATCACTATAGTCTGTGTCAAATATATGCCAGACATTATATAATATTTTAATGTCAAGTATGTCCGTTATTGTCCGATGCATGCCTGCATGCAAAGTGACGACGTATTATGGCATTGTAATATTCTAATGAACCAAATCTAACTAAGGTAGTTGCTCTGATTAAATAATCTGTCACGGCTGCCTTATAAAATTCAATCTTCTCTTTTGTTTTAGTCACTTTTCCAGCCCGCACAAGACAAGTAGCACGAGGACATACATAACATACTTTTACCTTACCAAGAACTTTTATAAATTCAATTTTTTTTTTAAAATATAGTTATCACCACTGAATTTTAAATCCCTTTTGGAAAAGCTCATTGACAGATTAATATAGTTACCTATATCAACATCAATTTAATTTAAGGCATAACTCTAACGCAGCTGTTAAAATTTGTTAAAATCAAATAATTACATCATAATAATATCTTTAAAAAACTATTTAATCCATGGAAAATAATTAATTTTTTGGCCTTAACAAGGATGATAATGGAGTTCTCCGAAGCATCTCAGATCACACAGACACACAAAAAGAATTTATATTCAAACTGAAAAGCCTTTATCAGGATCCTTACCTTCAAATTCCTCAAGACATTTAGAATTTCAGATCGATCCCACAATCTACTACGCATACCAGGATCATCAAGGTTTTCATCCACAACAATTTGCCTCCCCATGTCTCTAATTTCATCATGCATCCAAATGGTTTCGTCCCTCTGATTTTGATCAGACATTTCTCTGTGAGAACTGCGATTGCTATCTCTCCCTTAAATCCACAGCCTCTCAATACGTCGATCACATCTTCTCGCTTCATGCTCATTTGGACAAACAAGCAAGCAATATCAAGGAAGATGCATTTCTCTTGTTTATCTAACCCCTCATAACTAATCATCAACACTTCTTGGAGATTCCCAGGTCGAATCAGCTTCAGCTTCTCCACAGCATCATCCCATTCCTTTTCCCTTTTCTTACCAAACAACATTGAACCAAACACTTCCAGAGCTAAAGGCAATCTTGCTGTTAGAGACACTATGTCCTTCGAAAATTTCAAGAAAGTTTCGCCTGCAGGTTTCTTTCTTCGCATTGCATGGTAACAGAATAGTTCTAGCGACTCAGAGTCATCCAATATCTGAACTTCGTACAAGACATTAACATGAGTCTCAGGCAAAGCTCGCGTATCCCTTGATGTGACTAATATACGGCTTCCCTCATGGAACCATTCTCTTTTGCCAATTAGAGTATCGAGCTGCTTCACATCATCCACATCATCCAGGATTATCAGAGCACGGTTTTCACTAACTGCTCTTCTGAAAGCAGAAATATCGTTACCAACCACTGCTTGAGAGGAAATGTCACTTATAATTCTGTTTCTTAGAGAAATTAAACCCTCATCTTTGGATGAAACTTCTCTGACACTTGAAATGAAGCTGCGATGCTCAAAATCCACAACGATTCTGTTAAAAAACGCCTTCGCTAGGGTAGTCTTACCAATCCCACCCATCCCATACAACCCCAATACCCTCATGCCGTTGGATCTCATGTCTAACAATTCCAACAATTGTTCAATGCGAGCATCGAGTCCAACGGTAAACTCAGCCACACCAACTGGAGCATTACTCAGTTCCCTCAGAATCCTTGTCACTAAAAGTCCAATCAGGTCATCTCTCTTTTCTCTTTCACTATACCAGGAAATATCGCAAATTAATTAGCGAAACAGAACGTGGAGAATAGTAGATATTTGTAAATGGATGTAACTACTATTTACAACTACACACTAGTCTCAACACAGAGGAGTACTCAGTAATAGAAATGACCTGGGATGCCAGAAAGGGAAACCAGCAATTCCACCTACTTTCTTCAAAGCTTCCCTCCATCCGATTACCTCTTCTTTGCTCCTCTTGGCTTCGTGTTTCTTGAAGTATTTTCTGAATGGACCCTCTTGTTTCCGAACATGACTCGGGTCGACGTTGAAAAACACCGGCAGAATCAGTCTCCCGCAGTTCCAAATCTTTGCGAGCTCCTCCAGACACCAATGAGAAGAAGCATATCTCGGGGAGAAGATGATAATCGAAGCGGCCGAGTCATCTATGGCATCAAGCAGACTCGGGGCTATCTTGTCACCGCGATCGAGTCCATCGTCGTCAAGGAAAACCCGAACGCCGCGAGATTCGAGGGCGTTGTAAAGGTGAGTAGTGAAGCAACGACGAGTATCGGCACCTCTGAAGCTCAGGAAGACGTCCCAGCGGAGCCTGAAGGCTCCTGGGGTCGACGAAATGAGATGGCCGTCCGGTGACATTTTTGTGCGACAAGTCTAAATTGCTTTCTGGAGAAAGAAGGAGGGTAATTACAGAACTGTAAGAACTATAATTTCTCGACAAGAATACTAATCGATACTTTCTTGCACTCATATTGTAGAAATTTCCACGCAGAATCGGATTCTAACTGTGGATGAGGTTTGATGAAAGAGAAGGAGATTTCAGATTCTCGGCACGGCAGGAAAGGAATTGATTCTAACACGACGCTTCGTGTTCACTCACGGCCATACGTATGAGAAAGGAAAATCTGAACGAGCTGTCGGTCAAGGACTCGGGCCTAATGAGTGATGAACATGTTAACTGAAAGCAGACAGTCTTGTCAACTAGTCAATCACGTAGTTTTGGCGCATCAATTTTATTTTATTTTATTTTCTTTCTTTTTTTATCAAATTTAATGCGACTTCGTTTTTGAGTTAAAAAACAAGGGGGATATGTTTATGTTTTTGTAACCACTCCATGATATAAAAAATTGGTTAGAAAAAGATTGAGGTTCAAAATATAAAACGTTATCAGGATAATTAATATGATTTTTTTAACTTTTGTCCCTATTAAATATAAGAGAAAAATGAGAAATAATAAAAGTGTAATCCTAAAGGCAATTTTACCATTTTTAGAGGTGAAATAGGAAAGTTTTATCATTTTAGTACACATTTAATGATTAAACTTCCATTTCTTAGTATGTGAGAAAAGTTAACCAACATCTTACTAGAGAAAGTACCACTCTAATCCTAATTATAATTTATAATTCATTTATAAGAAAATTTTTTTGTCATAAATATAAATCACTTATAGAGTATTTAATAAATTTTTTTCAATTTAAGTGTATGTAATTCTCGTTGTGAAAAGAAAAAGAGAAGAGAAAGTTGAAAATGATTTGTAAATGTATAAATTTCAAAAATTTTATTAATTTAATATATTCTTTAATATGTGAAAATAAGTTACGAATGACTTATAATCAAGGTACTGAAAACCGGACCGGCAATTAAACCAGTCAAGGCAATGGGTCAAGGGTCAGTAGGTCAGACCGGAATCAAACCGAGGGTCAAACCGGTGAGAAATTAAAAAATAAAAAATAATTTAAATGTTCACTAAGAATTAGATATCAATTTAATATCTTGAATTACTAGTAAAATAATTACATTCTTACAATTTCTTATAATATCATACTACTAAAATCACTAAATATTCATCCCAACAAAATATCAAAATGGATATATGATAATAAAATATTTCTCCTTATAATTACTCAATCACTAAGTCCTAATTATCAACAGTTTAAAAAAAAATCATCAAAATATTTTTTTTTTAAAAGGGAGACCGGGTTGATCCACCAAACTGGGTGGGTCACCCCCGGTTCAGTCCGAGTCACCCCGGTTCAAGCCGGGTCACACCGAGTCACACAATAACCCGATTCACAGCTTAACCGAACCGGTTTCCTGGCCGGTTTCCGGTCTGAACCGGCCGGTCCGGTCCGATTTTCAATACAATGCTTATAATAAGGATCAAAGTAATACATTTTATTGTTTTTTATTAAAAAAAACTACACTTTATCATATTACGTGTGATAATTATCTCCCTCTATCTTGGCATTGTCTTCCCAAGCTCTAAGTCAGTGTACATGTTACTACTAACGCGTACGCACACCAACATCCTATGATCATGCTATCTCTACTTTTTAATATAAAAGCTAATTGGATATTGAATTTGACTCTGATTATAAGACTTTAATTCACTCTATCTCTCCAATTTATAATATTTTTTGTTAAAATATCTATATTAATTGTAAGGGTATCTGCCAAGACATAGTTTTAATGTATATGATTCAAGAGGGTAGTTGAGAAAAATTAATATACATTTGTTACAATTAACTAATTAACTAATTTCTTTAATATCTTCAAATGAGTTATCTAGCTCTTATAATAAGAATCGTTCTGAAATTTTGCTCTTCTACCTTATTGTCATTCTTAGAGATATTTAGTGCATGTATGGTTCACTTGAGATAGTTTGCAAGTAGCCTTTAGTGCTTAATTTGCATATGGTCGCTTTCACCAAGAAGTAACAAATGAGTCATTCCCTGCTCTCTCTTGCGATCTTCCCCGAGTTACATGTTCATGGACGCCGTTCTGCAAAGGAAGCAAATCTGTTAGAGAGAAGTAAAAAGAAAGGTAAGGATGGAGATGAGGAGGGATCAAAAGCGATGGAAGTAAAGAAGCAGCGATCATTTAGTGACACTCTGAAAGGCATTCATAAAGGAAGCGAGGAGGCATTCGAGGTTTGTAATGAGCAATTTGCGAAGCTGAAGGAAGGGATCACGATAATTGAGCACAAATGAGGTAACAAGAATATTCATGAGTTTGTACTATCGCCAAATGTAGTGAATCATATTTGTAAGCCGTTTTCTAGAAGCTCGATTGTTAAATTGCTGGGTTGGAAACTTGGCGTGGCTAAAATGGAAGAGAGACTACAGAGAATGTGGGCAAAAGAGGGGGTTGTATCGGTGGTGGATTTGAGGAATGAGTTCTTTGTAGTCACGTTTTCAAATCAAGCTAATTATGGTCTGGCTTTGACGAGGTTCCCTAGATGATTCAGGACCATTATTTGACAATTAGAGAATGGAAGAGGAATTTTGATCCTATGTCAAAACCTATTAAGGAGGCTATTATTTGGGTAAGATTAACAGATTTCCCTCTTGAGGCTTATGACGAGATTATACTTTCTGCGATTGGTGATCCGATTGGTCATACTACTAAAGTTGATATATCCACTTTATTACTGGCTAGAGGGAGCTTTGCTAGAATGGGAGTGCAGGTGAATCTAAAGGAGCCTCTCTTGACGAAAATAATATATGAACAAAAAAAGTATGCTGTTGAATATGAAGGGTTACGTCTTTTCTGCTTTAATTGTGGGAGATATGGGCATACTGTGAGGGAATGCATAGAGAAGGATAAGAAGGATGCAGGTATGGGAGGTGAAGTGAGAATGGAGCAAGAAAAAGGGAAGAGGGAGGAGAAGAAGACTAAGATTTATGGAGAATGGATGACTTTGAAAAAAAAAAAGAGCAAGAAGGGAAAGTGTAGGAGGATCTTTCTCACAATCTCTGTCTCCAGGCTCTCGATTTGCAGCATTGGTAGTTGAAGAGGGAAGTCCAGAAGTGGAGGTTAGGCAGCAAGGTGAGATTAATTTTATATACCAAAGCTCTTTGCAAGGAGATAAAGGGGGAGTTAGGAGGAAGGCTAGATTAATGGAAGCTAGCAAGGGGTTACGAAGGGAGGTAGTTAGAATAGAGAAAGAAAATAAAGGGGAAGGTTGAGGGGATTATAAAATGGTGACTTCGAAGTGAGAAAAATTATTTTGAGGAGACCAGAAGGTGCCGTTAAGAGGCGAACTGAGGAGTAGGAATCTAATATGCAGAAAGGTGGTAATCCTAATGTGGAAGTAAGGCAGCATCTTAAAGAGCTGGACCCTAATACCCTTCTATCAAGATGACAAAGTAGTGTGGGTGCGGATATATGTATGGCTTTGGATTGATTGGAGTTTGTTTGCTTCCTTCCTTCCTTTTTAATCATGAATCAAAACTAGTTTGGAATTGTAGAAAGGCTGGTGGTGAGAGTTTAGAGAGGAGTTTGAGACTTCTTGTGCATGAGAAGAAGTTGCATGCTGTGGAGTTATTAGAAACTCGCATTCAGAAGCCTAAGATGGAGGCAATGCTAAGACGATTGGGCCTTAGGGATTTTCGTATAATTCCTGGAGTGGGATTTTCAGGCGGAATTTGTGTTGCTTGAAAGGGTTTCTTGATATTTATTGTCATTTTTTTTTTCATTTCTTTGTAATATTTGGAATAGACTTTAACGGTTAGAAGCTATATATAAGGCATTTGTACCCATATAAGTGCATAGAAATATTTCTTGTTTTCTCTCTCAATTCTTGCCCTTCTATTCTCTTTTGACTTTCTAAATTTTTCAATTTTATAACACATTATCAATACGAGTTTGTTCTGAAAATTTGAGGTATAAGCTCCTTACACAAATATTGTTAGCTTTCTCTTATCTTATTATCATATGCACATTCTGTTTATACAGCTTCTATATATATACTGTTTATACTGATGATATATGTAATTTATATTGTTTATACTGTTCATGGTAATTATACGGTATACATTGTTTATATATTTCTTCTTTGTTTATATTGTTTATTTCTCCTTTGTTTCTTCTGTTTATATATTTCTCCTTTGTTTATACGATATTATATATTGTTTTTTTTGTTTACATGTGATTATATGAGGTGATCTATGTAATAATGGGTTTATTTATTGTTTATATTTGATTATGAGTTTGTACTTATTTGATTTATTTCATTATAGAATTATTTTTTAAAAAAAATTTGCTGTGTATCGATTTATATATAACACACATGTGTATTTACTTATAGTGTGCGGTAATATATATATATATATATATATATATATTTGTTGCTACAATTCTCCCCTCATATATATATTTATATACATTGTCTCTATATCTTTTATTTATATTTATTATTGAAATTGTCTCTTTATATTTATTTAAATTGTTCTTTATATCTTTGATTTATATTGTCATTTCTATATATTTTATTCATGATGAATGATTGGAGATTAATATTTATCATATTGGGCTCTAATAATTTACCATATGTCCTTGTTTTATTTTGTGCTCAGATTTCCTAGCCCATCATTTAAAGGTTCTAGTTTTATTTTTTTTTATATTTGTGATAATCAATTTGAGATCTAATTATGTCTTAAATTCATGTTATTGAATGGTCAGTGGTCATACTAATTTTTATTTTATAATTAAATGGTCAGAAGCCATATCACTTTTGTGATTATTCTTTTGTAAACAAAAAACTAGGGGTTCCTATAAATGGTATGACAAGAAAAATCTTTGACACTTTGATGGTCTAATGATGATAACATCAAAGCCCTAAAAGCTACATGGTGACTAATACTAAAGCCCAAAAGGCCAGTGGTTCAAACATCAAATGGCACAAAAGATCTTCATTTGAAAGATTTTTGCCATAGTTCTAAAGACTAATATTTGGAGAAATTAATTATGTACTATTGAAAGCAAAGAACACATATATAAGAGTAATAAAGAACATGACCACATTATATAAGTGGAGTTAAAAACTGGAGGGTAATAATCTTTGGTCATGTTATTGAATCATCA